TGAAAGATAATCCATTTTGTTTTGTTAATATTTAAAGTTAATTTATTAGCTTTGAACCAATTAGAAATGTGGTTTAGTTCTTTGTTTGTAGTTGAAAAGAGTTCATAAATATCAGTATGGGATAAGAAAAGATTAGTATCATCAGCGAACATTATACTTTTCAATTTGGAAGCTTTGTTTAAGTCGTTTACATAGATTAAAAATAGTAGTGGTCCGAGAATAGAACCTTGTGAAACACCACAGGTTATGCTCAGGGGTTCACTTTGCTGACCATTATTACTATAAACAAGTTGTTTTCGATTAGTTAAATAGCTTTCAAACCATTTTAAGATTCTATTGTTTAAACCATAATGTTTAATTTTTGGATTAAAATGTGATGATCGACCGTATCGAAAGCTTTTGATAGGTCAATAAAAACACCTAGTGTATATTGGGATTTTTCAAAAGATTCAGAGATGTTATGTATATTTTGAATAATGGCATGTTCAGTTGAACTCCCGTTTCTGAAACCATACTGATTGTTATAAAGTAAGTTGTTGTAATTAAAATAATTATATACCCTATTGAAGATAATTTTTTGTAAAATTTTAGAAAATATAAAAAGAACAGAGATGGGACGATAATTACTGATATCGGATCTGTCGCCTTCTTTATGGATAGGGGTACCCTGGCAAGTTTTAAACGTTCAGGAAAAATACTTTGATGGATAGATGCTCTGAAAATTTTAAAAAGAATATTTTTTAATTGTTCGTAGCAATCTATAACAATATTTCCGTTTATTTCATCTGCACCAGGTGCTTTATTTTTTTTTTAAAGATTTGAAAGCTTTTTCAAACTCATCAAATGATAGTTTGACAGACAATTCTTCAGAGCAAATATTTTTATCAATAGGTATCAAAAAATCATAAAATGAGGTCTGGGTTTTTGGTATTTTACTTGCCAATTTCAGTGAAATATTTATTGAATTTATGAGCTATTATTTGTGGTTCATACAAGCTATTGTTATCAACTTTAAGCATTTGTGACAAAGAGCTTGAGCATGTTTTTTGTTTTCCAGTAATTTCTTTCAATACTAGCCAAGTGCTTTTTGAGTCATTTTTAACTTTATTAATTAATTTTGAATACTCGGTGTAGTTTAAGGCGATTTACAAAATATTTGAATACTTTTATTTGGAATTAGCATGGTTTTGTCAGCATATTATGCCCAAACAAGATCTTTAAATGTTATAATTTTTTTTGCTTAAGGTTTTTATAATATTTGAAGAAACTTTTCTTTTTTATATATATATTTTTTGGTTGATTAAGGTGCCCCAAGAAGTCCTTACGGTCTTATCATAGAGCACCACGGATGAGCATTTAATGGGAAGTTCACGCCTCCTTCCCAACCGATGTTGCAAAACTTGCCCAGAGGTGGGGTTTGAACCATGGATCTTACGTTTCTGAGGCAAGTGCGCTTCCACTGCGCCACGGCTGGATATAATTTTAAAATTTTTTTTACTACCTGTAATAATGTATCTAAAGAACACTATTTTGGAGTCTTTAGATCAATTTCGCTCATTGACATTAACATGAATTTAGTTAAAATCTTTTTAAAAAGTTACTTAATTTACTACTGATCCTAGTTCTAATCGGTTCTGACGTATATTAACTATATATAGTTGTCAAAACACAATATTTCTATCAATTTTCACAAAAAATACTGGAATTCCGACCAAGAAAGAATTAATTAATTATCTAATCGTTTATTGGCAATTATTTATAATTAAGAATATAATTTCATAATTATAAATAATTGCCAATAAACGATTAGAACAGATCGTATTGTTAAACTATAATGTTCGTTTTACCTAAAAAACGTATTAATATAAAATCTTATTTAAATTTGGACGAGCGATTGTGATTTTAAGATGATTTTTTTTTTTAATTCACAGACCACACCATTTCACGGAAATATGTCACAATCAACAAAATATTATACAGACGCTATAATATTTTAAAAGTACCTTAACTACCACGGCTATCTACGGTTGGAAGTGAAACATTAAAACTCGAAGTTTGAATTGTTTTTATTGCATGTTCCGCAAATTACTCACATTTTAAAAAAGAATATTTTTGTGCAAAGCATTAATTCAATGCGTTGAATTAATTTTTGCTAATAAATTATATGCTAAACGTTTGCTAATTATTCATTTATCATCAGCTTTTATGCTAAAAAATTAAAAGAGTTAATTTTTATCATAACTTATAAAGTAATTTTCGTAAAATCTCTTTTCTTTAAAAAATTATCTTTAAAAAAAAAATAACGTCTTTTTTTTTTCCAAATCTCATTTTCCATCATATTTTTTTTTATTATTATTAAGTTGATTAAGGTGCCCAAAGAAGTCCTTACGGTCTTATCACAGAGCACCGCGGAAGAAGTTTACGCCTCCTTCCCAACTGATGTCGCAAAGCTTGCCCAGAGGTGGGATTTGAACCACGGATCTAGCGTTTCCGAGGCAAGTGCGCTACCACTGCGCCACGGCTGCTTATATTTCGAAATATTATATACAAACTTGGTGAACTAAAACACGCAGATAAAACACGCGTTTTGGAATGAAATATCTAGCTCACTATATTCATCAGCATCGATTTTATTCAATTGTAGGGTAAAACCACGGTACAAGTTAAAATGAGACTTTTCCACATGCGCTATATTGCCGCGGAAGGTTGGAGACTTCACAATTTCATATTTACAGTTGTTTGCTGCTTTTGTAACTGTTTTAAAATAAATTACATCAAAATCCGAACAAGACGTGACATCTCTTATTTCATAATAAATGCCACGTACCTTAAGAAAATCGACATCTTGAATATTTTGGTCTTTTTGAACAGATACAAAATCTTTGTTTAAATCCAGACTGACAACTCCAATGCCTCTTTTATGTATACATAAGTGAGGTGTAATGCTGAGTTGGAGGTTGTAAAGATAAATTTCGTTTGTCCATTCTGGAACATTGTTATCTTCGTCAAGGCCGCCACACACAAAAAAAAACTACCATTGTTTCGCCACATTCTTCATATATTGGTAGTACGAGAGTGCCACTTTCGAAAAAATAATGTTTGTTATCATCAAATAAAATAATTTTAGAATCCAACAAATTATACCAAGGAGTAATAAGTGAAACACCGTTTGATTTATGAACTTTTAAAATTGCATCTGTACTCAAAATTGTGACAACACGCTTTAAAGATTTAAGACAAAAAATAGCAGTTGAATCTTTAGTATTACCTTTACATTTTTCAGTGGGTGCATCGAATTGTCTACCGCACACCCACGTAAATGAAAGTTTAGTGACATGCGATAAAGTTACTTTTCTGTAATGAGGAGTAGCCATATCAGATTTTAATGTATTGTTATTCTTTATTTTCTTTTTTACTCGCTTTTCGATGTTCCTTGCAGCGCAATCAAAAAAATTTTTGTGCAGATCAGACATTTAACTAGAAGCTATAAAAAATGTTGAATTTATTGAAAAACACCTTTTGTACCTAAAAATATGTTTTGGTATTGTTATAAAAGGTTTCAGGCAATTCCACATATTCTATATTTTAGAACAAGTTATTAATTAATAATATATATATTATTGAGTAATAACTTGTTCCACATTGTAACCACAATTTAAAAAAATATATAATATATATAAAAGATTAATTCATACCATATATTCACATTATGACATATACTACTTATTACGTTATGATATTTATTATTATTATTTATTGCATAATGACATATGTAGCATACATTCATTCATATCTAAATTCATTAAATAACTGTAAATAAAAAAAAAAAACATTTATTCATTTCAATCTTCATCTTCATTTTCACTATTTTCAAATACGAATTCAGGATGACTTTCATGCAAGGGACAAATTTTGTTTTTCTTATTGTGTCCTTCCATTTTGAACATTTAACAACTATTGAAGAAGGAAGAATATTTTCTGTATAACAAAATTGCTTGCATCTAATCAAATGAATAATTGTATAGAATCGATTTTTGCAAAGATTAGTATGTGAAATCTCATAATACTTTATTTGGTTATTTAAATGTTCTCCTGCATTAGCATTAAAGTATTCATACTCCCAATTAAATAACTTGGAATATGTTTCCATTAATATACCAAGATGATTTCTCAAATAATGCATATATGGCATTTTCGAAATTTTATTTGTTCCAGCATTATGTAGAAATAACTTAAAATATGCCTCTGCTCGAACATTGAAGGATTTTATTCGATCAGGATCATGGTGAACGGAACGAACATCCCTGTAAAAGTTGATATACTGCATGTTAATATATGTATATAAGAAAATAATAGTTTTAACTAAAGAATAGTATTGGTATTTCCAGTATTAAACTTAAGTCAACTTAATCAATTTACTAAAGTTACTTATTACTAATAACTATAAAATTAAAATAATTAAAATAAAAAATGTACTGAGCCAAATCAGCCCATGCATTGTAAAGTTGAAGAATGTCTTAATTTTTGACTTTTTTGAGACTGCCATGAAACACCTTGATTCTCAACAAAAACAGTAAGGCAAGTATCTATATTTACTTCTAAGATTTTGCAATCATTTCCAATTATTCTCAAATTCTCTGTTCCATCATAATGTTTCTTTTTGCTAAAAATAGTTTTGGGCAGTATTAGATTGAATGGTTATGAAAACCATTTCAATTTTGTCCATTGAACTAAGTAACTAATAATAATTATTTATTATATACACTATTATTTAAATAATATATTTATATAGTATATTGTGCTAAATTTCAGCATAGGTAAAACAAGAAAACATGTAGCCCTTCTTAAGACTCCCACTTATCAATAACTGGAACTGTTTACAATTAACTAAATATTTTCTAATTTCTGTACTCAAATTTAAAAAAATTATAAAATAATAACTAAAAATAAAATAATACCTACACGTTATATCACACATAAATTAACAATGATATATTTACCTTTTAAAATAACAATCAAGTTGAAATGCTAAATACGAACACCTAATCTTTCTCAATCCTTCAGACAAAAGGTTTTCTTGTGAACGCTTATTTACTATACTAAATTTCCAAAGATATCTATGTTGTGCTAAAATTAAATGCAAGCCACATGGTGGCATGAAATCAATAATCAATCTTTTAATTAACACTGCTCCCTGAAATAACAAATAACGTTTTAGAACACTTTTTATGATTTTCATATTTCAGAAGTATCTAAGTGTGTTATTATAAGATTCTTGTTATAAACATAAAATTAAAATAATAAAAATTTTTTTTACCCATGTCCATAGTTGTCAGCAGTAAACTTCTTATATTGTGCTGAATCTTTGTTTGGTCTAGGGCCTAGCTCAACCCTTACATGTTCCCCACGTTCTTGTATATCAACAACCAATTGAATAGGAACAATCTTTTTATTTACAGCGGCCCAGTCATAAATTGGCAACTTGCAATGATTGCAACCATATGTTTGATTACTGGAGCATTTACCAATAACTTCGTTAATAAAACAAAGATCGGCAACTAGAAATAAAATCACATTAAAGTGTTCAGTTTTATTACTATTAATACACACTGTTAATCCATTTTTAACTAGATTTGTCAAATCTGTGTATACTTTTTGCACATGTAACTTAATATTCTCATGACTTTCAATACCTCGCCAAAGAGTTGTGATAAATTGTCCGTATAGGCTGTTAATCATAGGAGTTAAATTCACTATTGAAAAAGAAGTTTGCTCAGTTGGATAACGACTAGCAGCACAAAAATTATCTCCAGTGTCATGCAGAATTAAAGTTTTGCTATTTATGTCAAACTTTTCATAAAGAGTATTATTCTTCAGAATTAAAAAATCTCTTATCACTTGTTGTTGTTCAATGGAAAAAAACTCAAATTTTTCATAAAGAGAAAGGGTTGATAGGACTCTTCGTAGTGTTTCTTTAACATTACAAGAGTAACCAAAACATTCACAATCGACACTAGCATCATTATGAGCATGTTGAATTCGACCTACATCTATATTAAGACAGTATTTTCTAAGGTGGTCATATGTAGGAATGTTTATATTATTTTTCTTGAGAATACCTTTTAAAACTTTATAAGATCTCTGTGAAATTTCAATTTTATCCATCATTATTAAACAGTTTGTTGACAATCAAGATTTTTAACAGATGTTATAAACCTAAGTCTTTCAACAATATGAACTAAGAAATCAGTATTTTCATCTATAACTTCTTCAACAATTTCTGGGCACTCATTTATTATGTAGCTCACAAAACCTAAAAAAGTGATTTAAATTTTATAGATTCAATAAATTAATCAAAATAAAATATAGAACATTAGAACTACTTACTTTTTACATCACCATAGTTTGCTAACTCTACTAATGAATGAATTGTCTTATTCCGAGATTTTATAGCTTTTTTACTGAGAAGCGAACTAGTTTTTCCAGCACCACATTTTCTTATATTCAGTAAATCAACTATTACACTGTTGTTGTTTTGTTTAATGTTATCAAAAGATGGTGTATCAAATTTTATTATTGGACAAGATGTTTTAATGATTACTTCACTTCTATCCAAGCCAAAAAACTGAAAACCAGACCAGTTTTTAGAACTAATATAGTTTAATTTGCTAAAAGCATCTTTAACAAAAGAAGAGGAATGCAATGACTTGCAATCAATTTATAAGTCAGAAACAATAATTCGGTAAACAGGACCATCATCTGATTTATTAATCTTCATTGTTATAACCACATTAACATCATTCAGCTTTAATAACCTTTGTGCTTCATATCCTGGTTGAATACGACATTTAACTGATCTGATTGTTTTTATGTACAACAAACTGTCACAATTTATTGCAGTACCATAACTTACAACACCTAACCATGAGCACAATCTTGTGTTTGTGGGGGATGTTACATTAGATATATAGGATTGATATTGTTTTCTACAATCTTCAGATCCGGATAAACTTAAATGAAACTTGAAATCTTTAGAGTCTAATCCATAAAATCGTTTTCCATTGAGTCTACCTTTTGTTTTTATACCAAAAAAGCAAATAACCTTACGATAAACTGATGTTGGATTAGTGCAGATATATCTTTTTTGTATATTATTATCACGCATAACTATTCCTTCATATAAGGGTTTTCCATTTAATGATTTGTTAACATTTAAAATTATAAGTGATTCTTCTCCCGAATTCGACACAAACTTTCTTTTTGCTGAATACCCATTAAATGGTTCTGTATCCCATGCATCACAGTCAACTTTTTCACCAAAGTTTAATATTCCTATCCATTCCATGTTTAAATAGTGAAATAAGTTTAAAATCAAGAGTTCAAAAGATATACGTTAAAATAAATCTTTTTATTTATAGTATTTACGATAGTAAAGTATTTAAGGTAGAAAAAACTTTTTCGTTTTCAAACGGTATAACACAGAACAGAAATATGACAAAAACAATTATTTTATTACAAAAATTATGAATGTAATGATAAATTATAAATATAAGTGCTTAGTAATGTAATCCTTGAAAAATTTTTGATTGTCTCTAAACTTAAGGAGTTAAATTAATTTTTTTTGGCTAGAAACAGCAAAATATATTCAGACGTACCATAAAATATAAATGAAAATAAAATATCCCGAGCGGATACAAGAATATCCCGAGCGGATACACAACTTTAATGTTCTATAATTCGAAGTAAAAAGATGATATTGACATTCTTTTTTCAGCTACAACGTACACTAATTGTTACAAAAAATAAAACAGGAAACCAAATTGAAATAAAATAAAAAACCAGCGAGTTATTTTTTTTAGTAAACAGAACTGAAAAAAAAGCGGAATTGCACTTCCACTAACTACTGTTAAATATCGGAAAACAGATCGCCGTGCACGGTAATGGGAGGTAAGAGCGAAAAGTTTAAAAGCGAAAGAACGTAAGAGCGAAAAGTTTTAAAGCGAAAGAACGTTAAAGCGAAAAGTTTGAAAGCGAAAACCGGGAAATCGAGTATCGCGATAAGTTCAACAGCAACAACAACTGAAATTTATTGAAATTTTTTCTGATTTTGTTATTATCTCAATATTATATTATAGATTATTTAGCGTTTGGATTTTATTTTTTTTAAACTGTTAATATTTTTATAATTATAAGTTAGTTATAGTTTAGAATTATTTATTTGATTTTCTAGCTGAGAGTTATAGTTACAGTTAGAGTTTATTTGACTTGAAGACCAGTTAGAGTTTATTAGATTAAATAAATAAAACTTATTGTATATAGTTTAGAGTTTATGTATATAGTTTTAGTATAGAATTAAATGCATATAGTTTAGAATTATTTATTCATTTGGTATTCTAGCTGAGACTTGAGTTACATTGCGACAAAAAGGTATAAAATCTTGCATAAAAATTATAATTGCACTACAAGTTAATAAGTTATAGATAAAAAAAAAAGATTTGCATAATTTCTTATTGATATTATTAAATTTGTTTTTTGAAATTTATGTATTAGATTTCAACCAAAAAATTGTTTTAATGTTTAAATAAAAATTATTCATAAAATTAGAAAGATACGAATTTATAATGTTCTTTTGTTTTGATTAGGTATGGTGAGTTAGGCTGTCTACCCTTAATACTTTTAGAAATGATGAGATAGTTAAACCTCAAGAATTGATGTTTAAATTTTGAGTCATAAACTAAAAGCCAGGGCAAATATATCAACACAACATATTTAAAAACGAGACATATAAAGGTTAGTTTTTAATATAAATTATTATCTAGTAGATAATAATATCTACAAATATTACTATTTATGTAAATTAAGGCAAGCTTTTATCAATAAACAACTCTTGAAATATAAATGCTTAATTGGTGGTGTGCAAAGACCTTTGCTTAATACAATTGTGCTAAATTTCAGTCTTTGAATATATTGTCAACTTATGATACAATATTAAATTTAAAAGTATTCATCAATTCAAACATCTCTATAAATATTTATGTCTTATCTCTATAAATCTTACATCCATCCCTGCATGGAACACTTTTGCCATATCTTAATCAGATCTTCCAGTAATGGCCTTTCTCTTTTAGACAAGGTACAAAAAGGAATTGTTTTTGCACCTTCACCTTTGCAGCCAACCTCCAACCATTAGAATATTATCATAATGTTGCTTCTCATTTTATTTTTTATAAATACAATTATGGACACTGCTCTAAAGAGCTAGCGTCTCTTGTATCATCTACTAAAACTCACTATTGTGTTACTCATCATTCAATAAAGGCTAATCCTTTAATATGACTGTTCCTAAGTGCCTAAAAAGTTCTAATCTGTTTTTTCGTGAAACTTTTTTTTCACTTGCTTCAGCTTGTTTGTTTTTTTTTCATATAACTCGCAATCTATTAATTTTTTCTGTTAGTTGTTATTTTACTCTATAAATTTCATCTTTTCTCTAATAGTAGGTGCTTGCAGTCTTGTTGGAAATGAAAATGTTAAAAAAAAAAACATTTCCAATAAAAGCCCTCCAATATATTGTAATAGCTGGGATGTTATGCATTTTACACTTTTTTTTGTGTAACAAAATTCTTTTTTTAGTAATAAAAAAGTTACCAATACAATAAACTTAATATATGATATAAAATTCCCAAAGAAGTAAACTTAAATTAGATTCATATAGAGCCAGCAGTCATTTTCGTTTTAAAAACTATTTTATCTAGTTTAAAAACAACATAACAGTATACTGAACATTAAGTAAATAAGATAATTAAGGCTATTACAAACCAATCTGTAGACAAAATTATAAAATATTTGTGCTAAGTAATACAAATGTAGAAATAAAAACTTTACTATACTGAGATCACAAACAATTCATATCATAAATATTTACAAATCATGTAATTAAAACATAAAAAGTAAATAAGTTTCTCACCAATCAATCATCACCATTGAAACTTTTTAAACTAATTAGCCAATTAGTCTTTTTCACAATTAATGACTGAATTTTTAATTTTACATGCAAACAATCCAAAAAACATTACGCAGAATAATTTTTGGGATATTGGCATGTTTTTATATTTCAATAAAATGTAGAACTGCCTTCAAAAAATCTTTTAGGCATCAACCAAGAAGATTCACACAGTTATTAAATCATACTCTTAAGTTGTTCTAAAAAAAAAACCACATTACAAAATAAGAAAGTAGTTAAAAATAAAATAATCTTCTACTACCTCTTGTAAAATGAACTATAAATAATTTTGACAAAAATGTTGCTGAAATTCAACAGGTGGGAAAAAAAAGGACACTGTACAGCTTTCTGTTTACAGAACAAATCAAATCAAAACAACATCATAAAAAAATTGTAGCAAAATAAAATACCTAAAAGTTGAAACAACATATTCCAAGTGTAACAACATCGATCAAGATAATGCCATACATAATGGTCACAATATAAGTATCTTTATTATAGAGACTTATATTGTGATTTTTGACTAATAGACTATAAGTCCAATTTCAGGCAAATGCACCATATAAAAGCCATTTTTGTCATATAAATAATGTCATTAAGTCATATTTAAATACAACATATAAAAGTTATTTTTGACACAGGCTTTAACTTAAAAGCCTAAAGATTAAGCTATAATTCATATTTCTAAAGTGAATGTCTGATAACAATTATTAAAATTATTTTAAACAAAAATATTAAAATACTCACTTTGCCTTGCAGATAATTAAACAGTAAATATAACTGGCCGATATGCTGGCACATAAAAGAGAACTACTTCTAACTAACTAAATTTTTTATGCGAAAACAACTAATTTTCCCTATTATAATTGGTATACACACTTAACTTTTACGCTTTGTTTTGGAGCAAAATTCTAAACAATTCAATTGTGCCCTACTCAATTTTCTATAAAGTATAAACTTTTAAAGTTTATAATAAACTTCATGAACTTATTTCTGAAATTGACTCACTTCAATTGTAACAACTTTAAGATGACACAATTCAATGAAAAAGAATAATAGGTTAACTCATATGTATTTATATAAAAATAATAATGTTACCAATGTTATTAAAATGTTATTAAGATGTTACCAATGTTATTAAGATGTTATTAAATCTTAATAACATCTTAATTTAAGATGTTACTAATGTTGTTAAAAAAATTTTCTCGCTTAACCAATCGCATTCGCTTTTAACTTTTTCGCTTTCCCGACCTTTCGCTTTCAAAACTTTCGCTCTTAAAAGTTTCGCTTTAAAGACACCGAACCGCCGTGCACACCGAGTACTAAGTTATTTTTTAAATTTTTTCGAATTTTTTCGAAAAGATTTTTGTAATCTTTGTAAATTTTTTCGCTAGCTGGTATTTTTGTTTTTAGATATTTTATGTATAATTTTTATTTAGTTTTGGATGATTTTTTGAATCCTTTGGTAATCCAGGGATTATTAAAGTGTTTTGTTTTTAATGTAATTGTAACAATTGGGAAATTAGATTCGTAAACAGAGGTGAATGTTTCAAACTTTTCATAAAGGTTGTTTGCGTTTTCATTAAAATTTAAGTGTTTCCAATGTAATAATAACTTTACTTAATTTTTGTTTAGGCGGTTGGTCAGTGTTTATGGTTAGGTGTTTATCGATCTTATCGAACTTTAAAAACATACTTACCTTCTTTACGTAAGTTTAGTACTTCACCCCAGAGTCTTTTTCGCGTTTCGATTGTCTCTTTAGCAAAATCTTTATTGATAAAAATACCAGTTCAACGTAAATTTTTACTGTTAAAGAGAATTCTTTTTTTATCGTTGCAATTTAACAGTTTTATGAAGATTGTTCGGTGTTTGCCTACTTTTTTTGAGCCTGAACGATGAGCTCGTTCAATTAATACTTCGTTCGGGATTTTTAATTTTTTTGAAAAAATGTCTTTCACAATTTTTTCACAGTCATTCCAGGTTTCACCAGGTAATTCATTTACACCTTCAATCTTCAGGTTGTTTCTTCGTGACCGATTTTCGAGATCAACCCGTTTCTCACTTATGTGTTTAATGGCATTTGTTTCTTTTATAGATTCAAAACGTTTCTGCTCATAAAGATGTTTAATTTCACTTTCTGTCCGTTTATTTATTTCTGCAATCTTTTGTTTAGTTAACTCTTCTTGAAAGTTTAGACTCTCTTTTATTTCTTCTAGGTCCTTTTCGATATTAGAAGTTTTCATTTTGTTTGTAGATAGATCGAGTTCTAATTTATCCAACCTTTCAGTAAAAATCTTCATATTTGCGCTTGATATTTTTGCGAAGTTTTTTTCTTGTTCTTTGAGGAGTTTTTCGGTCTCCTTTAATATAATATATTTCTGCTCTTCCAGCATTTTTTTAATAATTTCTTTAGTATTTTTAATTATATTTATAATTATTATCTGTAATTTTATAATAATAAGTTTTGAATTTTTATTTCTTCAAGCAGTTGAAAAGAAAAACAAACACGTGCGTCCACTTCAGCATTCTATTCTTCGTTTTTTTGGGGGAAGAGGGCCGTTCCCTAACACTTTCCCTCCTCATGTGCGCATCTACGATCAATGTATACTTGCTATATTCTACCTTCCCTTAGATTTTGATAAAGATTAGTTTAAAATGTACTAATGTTTTTTTAAATCCAAGATGGCGGTCACTGCCATCTTTGATTTGTAAAAATCATCGGAACCCAGTTCCGGTCATGCTACACTTTACCACCATATCTTAAAATAATAGGCATAATTAACTGAATTGTTCGTAAAAATTTCATGATTTTTTCCACTTGTGCACAATTCTAGTCATTTTAAATGCTAATGTGCTCCACTATGATGTATTTTTAAAAATTTCTTTATACATTTAAAAAA